GAAAATCTGCTTCCAGGAATATCTTCACGGATATTCACGTTCAGCCAGGTGTACACTAAAATGATCTCTGAGTTATCCTTGTCTATAGACTAAGGACCACTTATTTACACGAGGTCTAACCCAGATCACAGTTTTACGCAATCAGTGGGCCTCAGGTTTTGTCTATAAGAGGGTTGATTTACTTCAATAAATGTCCTTCCACTGTTGGCTTTGGGCCCTCTTAACACTATTCACAAAAATGAATGCCCTGATGAAACGTTCAGCTAAGTTAACAATCGCTTAGGACGCGGTTTTGTTAGACTGCGGCTAAACTTTGTTTAAATAATGACCTAGATGTTCATTCTTTTAAGCCTCTTAGAATTCGTATTAACTCACTCTCATTCCGTCTTTCACTAGATGCTTAAAAATTAACTTAACCTAAAATTTCAAATGCAAATTACTTTTTTATCATGCTAACTAGATACTGGTCTCTATCACAACAAGGTCACCTTCAGCCTCACTCCAAATCAAAGGCTTGGCAACTAAGTACACAACTGTAAAATGACCTATTGCACTAAATGTGGCCGGTTTGCAAAGCGTGGCAGGCCCTTGAACATGTAAACCCTTAATGGGGATATTTTGAACGTGGTAACCGAGCAGATAAAGGGCTATTTTCTTTTTATTAATCGGAATGTGATAACCTCAGAACTTTTTCACAAAGAAGTTTTTCGTCAACTTTTAGTCTAGGTTGAGAAAATATCGAAGTGAAGATGATTTATCAAGCGAGCACCCGGCTGTGGACGTAATAACTGATAGAGAATAGGAGTTTTAACATGTAATTGAAAGAGTTATTCCATATGAATAAGGTATTGGAGCTTCGAACTGAACTAAAGGATCTGCACTTTTCCCCCTCGAATGTAAATACGAGCAAATGATAGACAAAGCTGGACAAAACTCTTAGCATCAGATCTACCTTATGAAAGGAAACCCTATCTCGCGTATTACCATCGTGATACTGTCTTTTGCATCTTTCATATCATCCTCTAAACAAAGAAAGTCAATTTTCTTATC